AGCAGTCAAAGCAATCCATGCCTTGTCCTGGATGGAGGAAGACCTGCAGAGGGGGCTGGGGCCCACATACCTCCCCACTTTGCATAACACTCTGTGGCCCTTTGCATGACCCCACCCACTCCCAATAGCCCTTCCCCATTGGGTCCAGTCCACCCCTCAGCTGGGGAGTGCTCTGTGGGCAGCATGAACCCACCATGGACCCCCTAACACCTCTTCCTTGTCTCTTTCATCTCCAGTCTCCCGCCGGTGGAGCAGGAATAAACTTTCCTGGCTAAGTTAGATGGATGGTCCCCATTAGCCTGGCAGGCTGCCCCCTCTTGCCTCCCTGCCGACTCCCCTTGTCAAGGAAGGTGCCTCTGTGTGTGAGGGAGGCTGGGGGACAAGAGCATTTGGGTGGGGGTTGGGGGTGCCCTGCCCCTCGAGCAGGAATGGTGCCCCCAGGGAAGAAACCAGCTGGAGAGGCTTCCAACTCCAACAAGAAGTGCAAGCGTTACTTCAACGAGCACTGGAAAGAGGAGTTTACCTGGCTGGACTTTGACTACGAGCGGAAGCTGATGTTTTGCCTCGAGTGCCGCCAGGCCCTGGTGCGGAACAAGCACGGCAAAGCTGAGAATGCCTTCACCGTGGGCACCGACAACTTCCAGCGCCACGCCCTGCTGCGCCACGTGACCTCGGGGGCCCACCGCCAGGCTCTGGCCATCAACCGGGGCCAGCCCACTTTTGAGGGGCAGGCTGAGGGAGCAGGGGCCTACCCAGGCCTGGCGACCACCCTCACCTCCAGGGGCGTCAAGGTGGAGGTGGACCCAGCCAAAGTGGCTGTGCTGACCACGGTGTACTGCATGGCCAAGGAGGACGTGCCTGACGACCGCTGCTCGGCCCTGCTCGAGCTGCAGAGGTTCAACCTGTGCCAGGCGCTGCTGGGCACGGAGCATGGCGATTACTACAGCCCCAGGAGGGTGAGGGACATGCAGGTGGGTGGCAGCCAGAGGTATGGGGGAGGGCGTGAGGAGGGAGGACGTGGAGCTGTCTGGGCACAGCGCCAGCATGCCAGGCCCCCGGGCAGTAGCCAGAGCACACTTCATTCATATCTTCATGCATCAGAACTTTACCCAGGGCGTAGTACTATACGCCAGGCCCTGGGCCAGCTGCTGGGGGCACAACAGCGAAGAGGCCAGGCCAGGCCCTGTCCTCCGGGGCAGAGGGGCACTCCCTGCACAACCTAGGCCAGAGGTTGCAAACTGGTGGCCTGGGGGCTTGATTGGCCTACAGATGTGTTTTGTTGGTTTTCAGTGTTTTTGAAAAACTTCAATTAGTTTCCAAGTTAAAAATACTGAGAGATCACGTATAAAAACGTGGATTTGTGACTTCTACTGAATAGCTAGGTCTGGATGCTCTCAGGGCATGAAGTGGTGGAGCTGGAGAGCAGGGCATGGGCTTCTCCATTCCCTTTGGCTTATCCCTGGCCCCCGCAAGCTCAGGATCCCTGACATGGCCCCTGGGGGCATGCAAGTTGCAGCTCTGTCCTAGGTACTAGCCGGGTGAGTCCTGACGCCTTGTGTGGGGTGGGGGAGGTGGATCTCATCCTACAGAGATGACAGACAGACAGACAGAGCACCCAGCTGGGGCCCTGTGTAACTGTTCAGTTAATCCCTGAGCAGCAGAGTGGAGAGAGACCCCCAGGAATAAGGCAGACTGGGGCAATGCTGTAAAAACACACACACACACACAATGCTGTAGAATCTTTATGGTTCATAAAGCATTTTTACATATATAAGCACAAATTTTATAATTCACAACAACTTTTTGAGGAGATTGGGGCAGGTATTAGCCTGATTTTAGGGCTGAGGAAACTAAGGCTCAGCGAAGTGAAATGATGTGCCCAAGGTCACACAGCCAATAAGTAGCAAAGCTAGGATTAGTCCCTAAGTCTGTCTGATCCCAAGGCCTGCGCTCTTTCTATCGCCCCGTACTGCCTGCCTCCCCTTCTCAGGACAAGCCTAACTCTGTCCTAACTCTGTCCTCCCTCCCTTTCTCTCCCTGACTGTCCCAGGTGGCCATTGCCAGTGTCTTGCACACAGAGGCCTGCCAGCGCCTGAAGGCATCCCCGTATGTGGGGCTGGTGTTGGACGAGACCAGGGACTGGCCTGAGTGCCACAGTCTGGCCTTGTTTGCCTCTTCAGTGTCCCCCTGCGATGGCCAGCCTGCCACCACCTTCCTGGGCAGTGTGGAGCTACAGGAGGGCGAGCCCACCGCTGGCCAACTCCTGGACATCCTGCAGGCCTTTGGCGTGTCTGCACCCAAGCTGGCCTGGCTCAGCTCAAGCCTCCCCAGTGACCGCCTGGGGAGTGTGGGCCCACAGCTCCAGGCTGCCTGCCCGTTGCTCACTGAGCTACACTGCCTCCCCAGCCGGACAGATCCCCAGCCCCCTGCCTACCTCGGTGAATATGAAAGTGTCCTGGATGCCCTGTTCCGCCTCCACGGTGGCCCCAGTTCCCACATGGTCCCTGAGCTCCGGACAGCACTGGACCTTGCAGCAATTGACCTGGCAGGACCGCGGCCAGTGCCCTGGGCCTCCCTGCTGCCTGTCGTGGAAGCAGTGGCTGAGGCTTGGCCTTGCCTGGTGTCCGCACTGGAGGCCTCTGCCCCCGCCTCGCCTACAGCTGGGGCACTGGCCCTTGCCCTGCGCCAGTTCACCTTTGTGGCCTTCACTCACCTGTTGCTGGACGCTCTGCCCTCCGTGCAGAAACTCGCCCTTGTCCTGCAGTCGGAGGAGCCGGACTTGGCCTTGCTGCAGCCCCTGGTGATGGCAGCTGCAGTCTCCCTCCAAGCGCAGCGTAGCTCGGGTGGGGCGCGCCTCCAAGGCTTCCTGCGGGAATTGGCGTCCTCCAGCCCCGACTCGGGCGGTGGGCGCTGTACCTACCGCGGCGTGGAGCTGGTCGGCTACTCTGAGGCTGCGGTCCGGTGCTTGGAGCGGCTGCGGGAGGCCTTCCTGGACTCCATGCGGCGGGGGCTGCGGGACTCCTACCCCGGACCCTCGCTGGACGTCGTGGCCGCCTTCGCGGCGATCTTCGACCCCCGCCGCTACCCGCAGGCCCCCGCGGAGCTGGGCGCGCACGGCGAGGGGGCGCTGCGCGTGCTGCTGGGCGCTTTCGCCCCCGCCGTGGTGCGCCAGCGGGCGCTGGGCGACTTCGCGCTCTTCAAGCGCGTGGTGTGCAGCCTCGGGCGGCTCGGCCCCCGGGCCCTGTGCGCCAAGCTGGTGTGCGCGCACTCCGAGCTGCACGAGCTCTTCCCCGACTTCGCCGCCCTCGCCGCCCTGGCCTTGGCGCTGCCCGCGGGCGCCGGCCTCCTGGACAAGGTCGGCCGCAGCCGGGAGCTGCTGTGGTGGGGCCAGGGCGGGGCCGGGGAGGGCCGGGGCGGCCCCGCGGTCAAGATCGCCGTGGATGGGCCCCCGCTGCACGAGTTTGACTTTGCGCTGGCCGCGGAGTTCTTAGAGAGTGGGTGGGGGGAGGGGCTCCTGGGGTCGAGGCTCACGTGAGGGCGGCCTCCTTCCTTCGGTCCAGCCGCCTGGGACGCTGGGCACTCTCGGGGCCAAGCTGAACCTGACCGTGCTGCGCTCAAACTGACCTGCCAACTGTGGCCTCCCACCCACCATCCCCGTGCTTCCTCTGCTCCATGCTGAGTACTAACAGCCGCACGGGCTGTGGAGGAGGGGCTGGGTCAAGTGGGGCCTGGGCGAGTGGGCAGAGATGCTAGGGTCTGGGACACCCTAAATATCACTCCTGTCCTCTCCAGAGTTTGGTGAGGAGTAGCTCACCCTTTCTCTCTGGACTCAGCCCAAGTTTTTGCCCTAGAAAAGTTGGGAGGTCCTGGTTGGAGGGAGGAAGACTGAGTCTCAGGAATTGAGGGATTGAGGGAAAAGAGAATGGGTCCTTGACTGTTTCTTAGCTGCCTCCTGGCAACATGTCTTCTCTTCAGATATGACTGCAGAGCAAATCACCATCCTTGTTTTTGACACAGCACAGCACCCTCTCTGTGCACGGGCTTACAGTTCAAAGGAGGTATTGGTGCCTTCCCTCCCCTCCCCACCAATAGGCTGCTTGAGGCTTTTCTGTATATAACCATGTATATAGACATAAATCTATAAATGTGAAATAAATCTATCCTATCTTTCATAGTGTTAACACGCAAATCTAAAAGGACTTCTTTTAGAAGGTTTTGCAATGACAGGGTCCAAAAAAGTCCCCAATGGACTGGATCTATTTCTAGTTTTTTTCTTCCTTGAAGTCTGGTTGTTCCCCAGGTGCCTAGCCCTCCCCTGCCCTCATCTCAGACCTTTAAGACCAAAGATTGGAAAACCACAGTGCTGTAGCGGCGACCCGAGGACCGGCCTCAGGCCTGACCCTGGGATGTTGGAGGGCTTTTTGCCTCCTGGGGGAAGCAGCTGGGACCTCATCAGAGCTGGGGGACATAGCCCTTCAGATTCCAATGGGTTTCCCGTCCCCTCTGTCAGCCCTCACTGTGAATGGTGTGGGAGTCTGGAGGGAGATAGTTAGTGAGAGAGGAGGGGGCTGGCCTTTCCCCAGACCTCCTGGGTTTGGGTTTAATTTACAATAAAGTGGAAGGAAACCCAGTGCATCATGCAGTCTCCATGGTGGTGTGTGTGTGTCAGGAACCCGCCTTGACTCCTCCTTGGCTGGACTCCCCTCGGGGGTTCATTTGAGCCATTATGCTGCCTCTATAGGGGCCAGAGGGTCACCCTTCTGGGCCGAGAACCCTGCACTGTGAATTCCCTGCTTCTGCCTCCCCAGTAGTGGAGAGAGAGGCACAGAAGTGGGCTGTACTCGCCCTGGGCTTGGCCAGTGCTCCTTTGTGAAGAGGGAGACAGGGGTTTGTGCCCTGGCTCCACACCCAAGAAGCCTGTCAACCTCTCCTTCTGCTGCAGAGGTGGGAGAAAGCCGTGTGGCTCCCCATTTCAGACCCTGCCCTTCTTCCTCCTGCAGCTGGCCCGGCCTCCAGTGCCCCCAGCCCCCTGCTGGCCTCCCTGCCCCTGCCTGCCAGGCCTCTGCAGCCCCCGCTGGACTTCAAGCACTTGCTCGCCTTCCACTTCAATGGCACCACCCCGCTCAGTCTCTTCCCCAACTTCAGCACGGTATGGGCTGGGCTGGCTGGCGGGTGGGGGCATGCGGCAAGCTTGGGGGTGGGCAGGGAAGGTGGGCTCAGAGGGGCTGGCTCTCAGACTCTGGGTCTAACCAGAAGCTCATTCTCCAACATCCCCTAGTGACTCAGTGTTCCCAAAAAACAGACCCCTGGGCCCAGCTCTCTGGGCTAGGGAAGGAGGATGTTGTCACCCCCTCCCCCAATGACAACTGCCAGGCCTGTAGGGTCTGTACTGTAGGTTTCACCTGAGTTTTTGCATAGGGACTTCAATGGATGGTCTGTGTATGTCTGTGTGCAGTTGAGGTGTGCCTTTCTGTTTTAATTTGTCTCTGTAGGTCTTTGTGTGTTATTTGTGTATGTGAATTTGTGTGTTAGTGTTCAGTGTGTATGTGTTTGTAAGCAGCTCTGTGTGAGGGTATGTAATTAATGTGTGTGCCTCTGTGTCTGAGAGGCTTTTTGTGTCTTTATGTCGATTATGTGTGTTTGGTGTGTGCCTGACCTCTGAGTGTGTGTGTTTGTGTGTGGGTTGGGTGATAGTGAGTTCGTCTGTGGTTGTGTGCCATTTGCGTGCATGTGAGAGTGTATCTTTGTGCATGTTGCTGTCATTTGTAACTGCCCGTAAGCTTAGGTGCTATGTGTCTGTATACTAGTCTATGTATGTCCATGTGTGTATGTGTGTGAACCACAAGCGTAGTGAGCATGAATTTACTTTACCACATGAACTATAAAGAATGCCCTCCACTTTTAAATTTTGAAAAATCAAATGTAATCAGTGATGAGCCCCACCCCATCTTGACAGGATGGTGGGAAATCCAGTTTCACTCACTGTAGGAATCCCTCCCTTCCCACCCTCCACGGCTGCACAGGGGTCCTAAGGAGCCTGAGACATTTGACAAGCGTCCTCCGGTCTTTGATTCCCTCTGTCACTGGCTGACATGCTCACTGTTCCAGCTCATGGCCCCTCAAGAGTGGGTGAAGCCACTCTTGTCCTCATCGCTGGGGGCCCTGCAGGCCATTCTCTAACATCCTGTCCCCTGCCTGTATCCCCGGCCCTGCGTGCTGTGAGGGTTAAAACCTCTTTCTGTTCTCAGGGAAGTTTCTGAAACCATGCTTTTCTCTCAAAGCCTCTGTTCTCGTCTCTCAGGAAGGTTTAGGAAGTTCCTTCCTGACAAGCAAGCCCAGACAACTTCTGCTTTTGGCCCAACAACCCAGGCCCCTGAGAAAAGGGAATGTAAAGGCTTGATTTGACAGAAGGAAAAAATTATTTAAAATAAGGAAAAGAAAAAAAAACACACACACAAATAAATATTCCAAAGAAATGATCCTACCACTCAGGGAACCCTCTGGCCTCCACCTGCTGTGGCCTGCCCCCTCCCAGCCCCCCACCTCCTCTGGCAGTGGTCTCAGTCTCCCTCTCCCTCTCAGGCCCTGTGACGGTGGCAGAGCTCATAAGATAAGCACAAGGCTGGGTTATGAGAGAGGAAATTCCAACAGAGGGACTCTTTGTCTCTTCCCTGCCTCTCTCTGCCCCCAACTCTCCGTCCCAATAGATGTGATTCTTGTGAATGAGAAAAAAATCCCAGAGACCAGAGGGGCAGCAAGTGATGGAAGGTGATCACCAGGACATGGTTCTGTTTCTCAAGATCGTGGAGGTCCCCTGGCCATCCCCTGCCTCCAAGCAGAAGCCCAGGCTGACAGATAAAATCAGCCAGGGAAGAAGTTGTTTCTTTTTCTGTGTCTAACATCCAGAAGGATGGGGAAGTTCTTCCTACAGGCTGACCGCCACCCTCCTTGATAATCTGCAGTCGTTCCTGGCATTTTGTACTGCCCCCCCTTCTGAGCCGACCCCAGTCATTGTGCCCTCCCACCCCCTTCACAGATGGACCCTGTCCAGAAAGCTGTCATCAGCCACACGTTTGGGGTCCCCTCCCCTCTGAAGAAGAAGCTCTTCATTTCCTGTAACATCTGTCACCTGAGGTTCAACTCAGCGGTGAGAGGAAGCAGTGGAAACAGGCTGGGGAGGGGGCTGGGCAGGAAGAGGGCTGGAGACTGGGCTTCTGCAGTCTTTCCTGGAGGAGTGGGGTGCAAAGGGGCTGTGGTCCAGACTTCCAGTCCCTGGTTGCAGAAAAGGCGCTCCTGCTCCTTTACCCAGCCCCTTCTCTCCTCTCTCCAGTTCCTCTGCCCCTTTCCTCTCTAGTCCCCCTAGGACCCCATTTCTCTCCCCTATGCCTCTCTCCTGTGTTCTGGATCCTTCTGCAAGAGAGAAGACTGCCCTTCCCCACTTGGTGTCCCAGGGGCCACCCCATCAGCTCCTGGTTTGGAGCTGAGTTTTTAAAGCACCTGAGAGTTTACAGAATATGTTCATGCCCATCATCTTAATTAGTTCTCATGATACATCTGTGAAGTGCATAGAGGCACTATTATCATCCCCAATTTTCAGATGAGGAAACAGCTTCAAAGAGGTTAAGTGACTTGCCTGAGGCCACACAGCTGGTAAGTAGCAGAGCTGGGATTAGAACCCAGGCCTGGCTGACCTCAAGGTCTGCATGCTTTCTACCAGAGCCTACCCCTAGATAGTGGAGGAGCCTCGTTCTGGCCTCCTAGGGAAGGTTTACCTTCTGTCCAGGCAACTCTGGGGACTGGGGAGATGCTCTCAGCAGACCTGATTGGATGAAAGGGTCCAGGGAGGGGCCATGGGGGCCTCTCTTTCTGATGTTTGGGAGCAACAAGCAGGGATCCCTGGTTGAAGAAGCGAGGACACTGACAGGCCAGACTCAGGGTTCCCTCCAGGCTTTCAGGTTACATGAGTCATGTAAGAGATGGACAGGGAGACTTCCCTCTGAGAGAGGGACCCCTCTTCACGCCGGGCCCCTGGCACAGTGTCTGGCAAACAGCAAATGCTCAATAACTCTTTGTTGAGAAAATAAGCCAAGGGATGAATGTTCTGGGGTGCACATACCTCAAAGTGTGCAGACTACTCTGTTTCCTCCATGCGTGCATTTATAAGCTTGGTAACTAACATTCATTGAGCACCTACTGTATGTACTAGGCCCTTATCATTCAGGTTCTCATTTAATTCTTACAGTTGTGAGGTCAGTATTATCATTGCAGAGTTTACCAGTGAGGAAACTGAGGCTCAGTGAGGTGAGGTGACTTGCCCAAAGATGCACAGCTCATAAGTGGCTGAGTCAGAATTTGAAGCCAGAGGCTGCCTGCATGGGAGCTCATGTATGAGAATGTGTTCTGTAAACCTCAGGGCCACACACATACTGTGATGACAATGGCAATGACAAGGATTTGTCCCTTGTGTGGCCAGAGCCCTGCCTCCCTCTGACCTGTCCCCTGCCTGGTGCCAGCTCATGGATGGGACATGTGGATTAGTGAATGAATGGTGACCCCACACCCTCCCCTCCCCAGAACCAGGCCGAAGCACATTATAAAGGCCACAAGCACGCCAGAAAACTCAAGGCTATCGAAGCTGCCAAGAGCAAGCAGAGGCCACAAACCCTGGCCCAGGACAGGACGCTGGTGTCCCCAACCCCAACTCCGGCCAGCGAAGCCCCTGGAGAGCTGCAGAGCAAAGGTCAGTCCTGAACTCGTCTCCCCTCCCCACTCCAAATCTGGCTTCTGACGAGGGGTTGACAGATTTCTGCTTATTATTATTTTTGCTTGTGTGGGGTACTTTACATTCAGAAAAAGGCGCCCAATGTACAGCACGATGAGTTTTCCGTCTGAATATACCAGGATCAAGAAACTTGCCACGAGCGCCCTGAAGCCCGTCTCGGGCCCCCCCAGTCACTACCTTGTTGTGCTAGCTTCCAGGGCTGCGGTAACGAATGACCACCAACTGGGTGGCTGAAAACAAGAGAAAGTTATTTTCTCACAGTTCTGGAGGTCAGAAGTTTGAAATCAAGGTGTTGATAGGGTTGGTTCCCTTGTGGGGACTCACAGGGAGAGTCTGTTCCAGGCCACCCTTTTGGCTTCTGGTGGTTGCCGACAATCCTGGGCATTCCTTGGCTTGTAGCTGCATTGCTCCAATCTCTGCCTCTGTCTTCACATCTTGTTCTCCCATATGGGTCTCTGTGTCTTCATGTGGTCTTCTTTTAAAGACACCAGTCATTGGATTAGGGCCCACCCCAATCCAGTATAACTTCATCTTAACTAATTACATCTCCAAAGATCCTATTTCCAAATAAGGTCACACTCTGAGGTTCCAGATGGACATGAGTTTTGTGGTGACACTATTCAACCACCTACACCCCTTCCCGGGGTACCTACGATCCTGACTTTTCTTGGCATAGATCAGTTTCATCTGGTTTTGGTGAATCATATAGTATGTAGGTTTCTATGTCTGACTTTTGTTCATTTTCCATGAACATTCATCAACACTCACGCTAAGATTATTCAATGTTGTTACATATAGCTGTGGTCTGTCCTTTTTCATTGCTGTGTAGTGTTCCATTGCCTGACCATACAAAAATTTTTTAAAAATCTACTCTGTTGTTGATGAATATTTAAATAGTTTCCAGGGCTGGCCCCGTGGCTTAGCGGTTAAGTACGTGCACTCCGCTACTGGCGGCCCGGGTTCGGATCCCGGGCGCACACTGACACACTGCTTCTCGGGCCATGCTGAGGCCGCGTCCTACATACAGCAACTAGAAGGATGTGCAGCTATGACATATCACTATCTACTGAGGCTTTGGGGGGAAAATAAATAAATAAATAAATAGAATTATAAAAAAAATAAAATAAAAAACTTTTAAATAGTTTCCAGTTTTATGCTATTATGAATAGTGCTCTATGAACATTCTAGTACATTTTTTGGTGATTTCTGCTTATTTAACAGTTAGCTAATAACTAGGATATCAGGGCTATGAGGGCTTTCTGAGACCACTCCGTCCAACTTTATGATTTCAGATGGGGAAACTGAGGCCCAAAGAGGCCCAAGTCTGCCCAGTGAGTTGGTGGGAGAGTGGGGTCTGGAATCAGCGCTGGTCATCCCTACACTAGGGACCCTTCCACTCTGCCATGCCACCCCCAATATGTCAGTGCTTAAAATCCTGGTCTTGAGAATCATCTCAGCCCTCGTCATCTCAGACCTGATGCCTCTATCTCCCTAGCAGTTCCTGGAGCCCCTTCTCCTGGCCCCCCACTCCAGCCACCACTGACTCCAGACCCTGCGCCCAGGGAGCCAGCACACTCAGACCTCTTGGATGCTGCCTCCTCTTCCTCTTCTTCCTCCTGCCCACCCTGCTCCCCAGAGCCTGGGAGAGAGGCGCCAGGGCCTGAGCTGCCTGCGGCTGCTGCGGAAAGTAACGCGAGTGGGGAAGACAGGAGTGAGAGGGGGCGCCTCTACTGCCCCACGTGTAAGGTGACAGTGAACTCTGCCTCCCAGCTGCAGGCTCACAACACAGGTGCATGTGCCCCACCAGCTGGAGTCCGGGGGGAGGGGGGCAAGGAGGCTGTTCTCACCAGATGTCAGCAGGCTGGGTTTCTGGGCACTTTGCTCAAGGGCTTGGTGACAGAGGCGTTGTGCTCAGCTGTTACTGCACAGGCATTCGAGTCCTCCCACTAATGCTTGAGGGGGGAGAATTGGGAAGAGAAGTCTGAGGTGGCAAGAACTGAAGGTCACTCCAGGGAAGACAGGAGCCACCTCCTCCATCTTTCTTTAGGTCAGGCCCAGAAGGGAGGGGTTGAGAGGAGAGCAAAAGGGAAGCAGACCAGTTACCCTGCAAGAAGGCCTTCCTTAGGGGAGGCTGGCATGGAATGAGAGAAGCTGGGAAGACCTTGCAGAGATAGAGATAAGACAGAAAAATCTCAGGTGGCTGGAGGGGAGTGTATGTTCTGAGCAGCCTTGAGGCTGAAGGTACAACTAAACTGACCAAGTCTGGAGGGGTCTCTGTGGCCCTTGCAGCCCCTCTTCGGAGCTGACAGGCTGTCTTCTTTCCTCCCTCCAGGAGCCAAGCACCGGTGGATGGTGGAAGGTCAACAAGGGGCTCCCCGAAGGGGCCGGGGCCACCCAGTGCCCCGGGGAGGAACCGGACACAAAGCCAAGAGAGTAACCGGGGGCCGGGGAGGCCGGCATGGGCCCAGCCCCCCTTTTCACTGTGCGCTCTGTCAGCTCCAGGTCAATTCAGAGACCCAACTCAAGCAGGTGGGGGAAGTGAGGCCGGGGTTTGGAGCAGGGTGAGGGGGTGGGAGCAGAGCCAGGTGAGGGGGGAGCCTGAGGACAGAAGGTGGATAGAGCAGAGCCGGGAGCGGGTGGAGGAGGAGAGCGAGGCTAGTGGGACAGTGGATCCCTGGAGGACAAAGGCCAGTTCTTGCCTCCCCTTCCCAAGGCCACTCCAGGGTGACACCCAGTAAATGTGCCTTCAGTGTGTGAGCTGTGGGTAGAGGAAAGGTGAGCTAGTCCAGGGTGATAGGGTAGTTGGGGGTCCTTGGGCTTCCTCACCTTGTTCCCAGTCTGTCTGTCTGTCTGTCCATTAGCACCTGAGCAGCAGGAGGCACAAAGACCGCCTGGCCGGGAAGCCCCCCAAGCCCTCCAGCCAGCACAGCAAGCTGCAGAAGCACGCAGCGCTGGCTGTGAGTATCCTCAAGGTATCTGTCTCTAGGCAACAGAGCTGGGACCCTGGTCAAGAAGGGAGAGGGTGGGCTGGAAGGGAGGGCCAGCTGGGGGCTGGGGGTGGGGCAGGAAGGAAGCCACTCCACTCCGAGGCTGCCTGGGCAGGGAAGGAGTTGGGGTTGAACTTTTGGCTGTCTTGGCACCCGCCCAGAGGAATTTCCGGGGAGGTGGGCTGGGGTGGTAATCTCAGGGGTAAGAGCAAGGGTGGGCATGCATCTCCTGGAGAACATCTCTACTGCCACCCCCAGGGACCCTCCCTTCGCCCATCCTGAGAGCCTCCTCCTCTGGGCAGGAAGACAGGTGGTGAAGCAGGCCCTCTGGAACGAATGTTTGGGGGTGGGAAGAGGATTTAGGTTTGGAACCCTAAAGGGCACATTTCCCCTGCAGCAAAAAGCCCAAGGATGGAGCCCAGGGAAGGGGTGGGATTTTTCTGGGGTCAGAGACTGTGTCCACTCCTCTCTCTCTTCTCTGCAGTCTAAACTGGCCTTGCAGAAGCAACTCACCAAGACACTGGCAGCCCGCTTCCTGCCTAGCCCGATCCCCACTGCGGCCACAGCCATCTGTGCCCTGCCAGGGCCCCTGGCCCTCCGGCCTGCCCCCACGGCAGCCACCACCCTCTTCCCGGCTCCGATCCTGGGCCCAGCTCTGTTTCGCACCCCAACGGGAGCCGTCCGCCCTGCCACGGGACCCATCGTCTTTGCCCCCTATTAGCCCTACTAGGGGAGGCCAGGGCTGACATCCCAGCAATCGCTCTCCCCCTCCTCCTCTCCAAGAGAGGCCTCGGCTTCCTACATCCCACAGGGCACCGCCTTTTACAGCCTCGGGGGTCCTGCCCAAACCAGGAAGAGCCGGCTAGTTTTAAGGGCAGTTGTCCTTCACTCAGTCTGGACTGGAGACTCACTCAACTAATACCCCCTGGCCCAAGGACCATCCAGCCCCACCCTCCTTTCCCTGGATTTCTAGGGCTAGTCCTGGGCTCACTTGCATTTCCCAGCCTGATTTAGGGGGAGCAAACTGAGACATCCCAAAGATCTATGCAAAATCCTATTCCAAGCCCCGTGGTGCTCTGGTTTCCCCCATCCAAGACCTATACTCGCAAGGCAGAGGCCCTAGGACTCTCAACTCCTTCTAGCCTGAGGACAAGTCTGTGACCTCTACTCCCATGCCCTGGGGAGGAGGCCCTCCCCATTCACTGGATTCTCTGGAGAATCACTGGAGATGAGGGATGGGGTCTCCAGCTGGAGTGGGTTCAAGGCTATCTGGACAAGGTGACCGTGGGAGTGTGACGGAAGTCTGTGGAGGAGAAAGGGAGCAGTGCTAAGGGGGGCAAAGCCAAGGCGGGGTGGGGCAGAAAGCCCTTGGAGGCTTCATCTGCTCTGACGGGATGGGGCTAGGATGGGGTAGGTGAGGGGGATGTTCTGGCTGGGCCCAGTTTTAATAGAGAAAGTGATCAATCCCACAAAAGCTCTCCCCTCTGAGCCTTTCATTGATTCTTCCTGAACCCCAGCTCCTGAGGTGGGTGGGCACTGGGTCTCCCTCAGACTATGGACCCAGCTAACACTGGACCCCACCCCCCCGACCTGGCTCCCAAGCGAAGAGCAGTCCCCTCCAGCTCTTCACCCCACATTGGTCCCCAGCACTAAAGGGGTTTCCCTCCTCCCAACCAGCACCCCAGGCCCCCTCACTGTGAAGCTGAGTGTTGGGACACAGTCTGATATACTCTCAAGACCCATTTTCATGCTGTCAGTTAATGCCACAGCCCCAACGTTGCCGAGCACTGCCCCCCAAACCCCACAATATGGGACTTTGCCAGTATCCACCTGTATCTTTTTTCTTTTTTTTAGGTATTTCCAAGGGGAAAACAAGAAAAAGGGGGGAAGGGAGGGAAACTTTTTGATAAGTTGTGGTTTTATTGTGTCCAAAGCATCAATAAACGAACTTTAAGCTGGAGCCTGTATATGCCCTAACCTGACTTGCCCAGCCCTGGGCCACTTGCCCCTGCTCACCTCCCCCATCTTGAGGAGAAGGGGCGTGTACTGGAGGTCGCCTGGCTGTAGTGTCTCACCTGTGCTAGGTGTGCACGTGAGAAGCACGAAGTGGGCACAGGAAGTTGTGGGTCATAAGCTCACTTTACAGCGTGTTGTGAGTGTAACCACCCTACTGAGCCCCGACAGATCTGGCAGCTCCCGAGAAGCTGCTACTGGTTTGCCTTGTTCTGTTCAGGCATCTGAGGTAAGAAGGAAGGGCTAGAGGAGCACCTTGTCCAGCCTTCACCATGGCAGCAGGCTTATTTGGAACAGGTAATGTATAAATAGAAGTCCAGCTATTAGCTGAAAACCATAGGAAGGGGTGAAGACCAGCCCCCATGGGTGTGACGTCCCCCACTGGGCACTGAGCAGCCACTCTGGCAATGAGAGCACAGTGCACTCCTGCCCCCTGGTGGCTGGCGGAGAGCAGTGTCCCAACCTCCAGGGCCAGTAGACATAGCACCTTAAAGAGGGAGAAGCAAAGGGGACAGTCATAGCCAGCCTGGAAGCCATGGGCGTCATAAAATCATAGGGCTAGAGAGGATCTAGAAGATCACCTAAGCAACTCCTGTCACCTTACAGATGAGAACACTGAAGCCTGGAGAGGGGAAAGGCCTTGCTGAGTCACAAAGCCAGTTGGTGACTCAGCCCAGTCGTCATTCCATTCCACCTCAACCAATGAGGCCCATCTGCTCCCTGAGGAGGAAGAGGAAGCAAAACAATTGGGGGAATAGGTAAACAGAAAATTACACTTCCCGAGAGGCTGGCTTCTTCCAGCCAAGGTAAGGACAGGAGAAAGGTCAGGGTGCTGGATGAGGGAGCACCCCTAACACCAGCATGCACACACGCTCACATGTGCACACATCTACACACACATACATGATACCTGGATGCCCTTTCTCTCGAGTCCAGGCTGCTGCCATAAGTACGTGTGTGTGTCACTGGCAGAAAGCTCAGAGGAGTGGGACCCCTGTGATTGGAACCAGACCCTAGACTGGGCACTTCTGCATGGTAGCTCTGCTTCCCATCCAAGGCAGGTGGAAGGGACACTGACTCACAACTGCCCCAGGTCACAGCGGGGCAGACAGAATGAGAGCTGGGGGGCGCTAGGGGGGGTGTTGGGGGCACTAACCTAGATTATGTGCACTTCTCAGAGTTGAGAGGGAGCAAAAGTGGCCTGAGCCTGGGACAGCTCAGCTGCCTGGCCCAGTGGGGGGCTCCCCCACTGCTTGGGAAGGATAGCTTGCCTAACCCCCCTTTCCCCTCAACCCATCTTCCAGAGCTCCAGCAGCTGGAATGGGGTTGGGAAGGTGAAGACGGGATGGCAACCGTTCAGCCATCCAAGGAGCCGCTGCCCTTGTTCTTGCGGCTGAGGGGGAAGGCGGACTTGCTCTGGGGCTGTGTCATCTTGCTGGCCAGATAGACGAAGGGTTCCAGGAGAGAGCGGCGGTCAGCCACTGATACCTCCCACAGCTTCACCTTCTCTGACTTGGCCCAATGCTGAGCCACGTCTGGGTCTACACGCCGCTGCTCCTGCAGGTCACACTTGTTGCCAAGGACCACGATGGTGACCTAGTGGAGAGGGACAGAGCAGAGGCCTGTGGATGGACCATGGACCTCCAGAATGGGTGCGAGGGCTGGCAACCACCTAGGACTCCTAGGAGAAGCAAAGTCTCAATGGTTGATGCCTCATCTCTTCCTATCTTAGAAATCATGGACTGGGAGGAGGGAGATGGTTGCTTTTTCCTTTTCTTCCTCTGTTCAAATTTTGGCCTCCACCTGGCCCTCCCTCCAGGAGTTCTATTACAAGCCCTGTATCACTCATGCTTGCCCATTACTAGCAGCCAGTCAGTTTCTGGCTAAACAACTGGTGAGGAAGCACTCCCAGAATGCCTGCAGCTGCAAGGGGGATTTGAGAACAGAAGGACCTTCTTAGCTAAGAGCATGGAATCGTTATAAAAAAAGACTAGTGGGGGCTCATGCATTAGATCAGGGACCTCTTAAACTGAAAAGTCTCTTTGGTTGAGCTGCCTCAACATGTGGCCACCTCTAGGGGTAAAGCCACCCTCCAGTGGCCTCCATCCCCCCTCTAGCTGCTAACCCACCTCTTGGCAAATGAATGAAAAATAGAGCCAAGCCGAGCCTCCCCAAGGCAGCTCAGGGCCCACTCTCTCCCACCACCAGGGCTCCCACACACACCTCCTTCTTATCTTTGGATTTGTCGATTTCCTTCTTGAGCAACTCCACACGCTGAAAGGACTCTCGGCTATCCGTGCTGTAGACCAGGACGTAGCCATCAGTGCAGGAAAAGCAGTGCCGGGGCAGCTCAGCCCCATCTCGGAGCCCCCGGGTGTCGTAGAAACGCACCTGCTCCCGCACCCCCCGGTCGGTCTCAATGGAGCCCACGTAGATGTCCTCCTGCGTCTCGATCATCTCAGAACCTGGGATAAAATGAGAAAACTTGTTTGCAGGGAGGAGGGAGATGGGAAACATGGGTGACTGGGTATATCCTGACAGGCTGACCAGACAGGGAGAGAAAGAAATGTGGGGGCTGGGGAGAGGGGGCCAGAGACTGAGTCTGGCAGGACTGGAATGATTCGGGGGAAGATATTAATCTCATGCTCATACCATCCTAAGCAAAAGGGTAACTTGGGAGCTTTTCCTCCCCATCTAGATATTGAGTTTCCTTCCTCCAGATTTCTTCAGTGTTGTAGGGTTGCGGGTTAAAATGTACATGTTCCTCTTTCGGGTGCAATAACCACCAGGAGCAGCTTTTAGCCTTTGTGTGTTGTGATCAAATCCTACTCCTTATTCTTCAAATTCTTCCACTGTTTCCCCGCCTGCAACAACACTCACCCACTACATGGTTCCCATACAGAAGCTGCTCCAGGATCGAAGTTTTGCCCACAGATGCCTGGCCACACACGACCACCTTGCAGCTCTTCCCCATGCTTAGCCTTCAACCTTGAAGAACAGAAGCACACTGGGTGAGGTGGGATCAAAACAAAGGGCAGACCTCCTATAACTGAGAGCCCAAGTTCTGAACTGAATGCATAGCCTTAGGGATTCAGCACTGACCCCTACTCTAGTCAGGGTGTATTGAAGTGATGTATCTGTGTCCACTACCAGACAGGCAGCTGTACGTTACTGATCTTTGTTATTCCCAGTATCTGGCCAGGAACTGGCAGAGAGCAAGTGCTCAGTATATGTTGCCATAAAGAGAGTAGAGGGTCGCTGGTTTAAAGGAACCACTGGCCATGTTCTTCTCTGTGCACAGGATGTGGAGGACCAGTTGCTGAAGGGAGCTCTGGCTCAGCTTCCTCTCTTTAACCACCACCCCACAGAAAAATAAGCAGGAATACTATTTTGTGTGGATCTGTCTTAAGCCACTCTTCCTGGGGAAAATGACCAAATAAGGAGGATATTTTGCTTTCCTGTATGACTTATCTAGGCGACAATCAATGACCTCTAATTCCCAGTCAAGTCCATGGCTAAGATGAAGAACATCAGACAAGAAAGACAGGAGTGAAGAAATCTAAGGGAAAAAGGCTTCGAAAAGGAGACAATTTTTTGCTACCCTTAGACTGACAGACCCAGATGAGAAGCCTCAGACACAGAAATTCCTTCTCCGAAGAGGCCCCAGAGACTTCCTCGAAAGCATCCTAAACACAGGCTTCCCAGAAGAAGCCCCAGAGTCCCCCAGGGAGCAGAAATACAGAGATCACACTCAAAAGGGGTCTCAAACAGAAACCTCTCCAGCGGAAACTCCTGAGTCGGACCCTCCTCCCCACTCCCCCCCGAGGAGCCCCATGTATGTAGTGAGCCCCGGAATAAGGGATACCCATGAGAGAGCCAGAGGGGCCTCCGCCAGATTCCCCACGATGGGACCCCCAGAGGGAGTCAGAGGCCGCAGAAACTTGCCACGTAAAGCGGCCCAGACACGGTAGCTGACCCCGGCCTGCCAGCTCCGTACCTCCCGGGGCCCTCGCAGCACCCCGGCCGGGCCCCTCGAGGAGCGCAGGGACTACGGGCAGGGCAGCACAGCCGCAAGGCCTCCGTTCTTCCGGGTCGAGCCAGGCTCCGCGGGCCCCGCCCCCTAGCTTTCGTCCGGCAAGACGAATTCCGGCGGCGGAGAGCGGGCACGGCCCTCACAGCGCCCCCAGACGCCGGCGGGGGAAAGGACGGCCAGGACCCGGGCTGGTTGAGCGCATATGAGTCCAGCTCCCCGGACGCGGGCTGTTGGTCCGGTGGGTCTGATGACCAAATGTTCTTTCCCTAAAGGCTACCATAGTACAGTAACACTTCATTTATTCAATCGTTTATTCATCAGATGTCTTCTGAGCACCTACTCTGTGTCAGGTACAGGACCAAGAGCTGAGAAAAAGCAGACGAATTATACACTGTGGCTGCCCATGAGAATGTCACCGTCTAGAGAAGCCAGACATCTAAACCAACAATTACAGTACAGCATGGCAAGAACTATCACAGAGGAGCTATGGGAGCACAGCAAAGGGGCATTTAACTTGGAGGCAGTGGGCATCATGGAGAGCCTGGAGTAGGTCATGTCTGTGTTGAGGTTTAAAGGGCTTGGGAGGAAAGGGTGGAGAAAGCATGGCAAGAGTCATGGCATTTTCTGGAACTACAAGTATTGAGTTCAATACTAATGGTAGAAAGGAGCCAAATAATCTTGGGTGGTAGGCCAAAAAGCTCAAACTGTATCCTAACAGCAGTGGAAAGCCATTGATAGGTTTTATGCTAGTGAAGTGATACAATCAATTTTTGCTGTTAAGAAGGTCATTTTGGCAGAAGACTGAAGATTGGCGAGAAATGAGACTGGGGGCCAGTTAGGAGATTTTGGTAGTATTCCAAGTTTTTAAAAAATGACGGGAACCTGAAATGGGATGGAAAGGTGATAGATTTGGGAGACATTTGGTAGGAGAATCAACAAGACTTGGTGTTAAGTTAGGAGTCAGGAGTGAGACGGAGGAGTTCATGATGTTTCCCATCTTTCTCACTTGGTGACCAGGTGAATGGTGACCAGTTCAACAAGATAGGGAATTCAGGAAAAGAGAATCAAGTACAGCATTTGTTTTTTCAGTTGTTGAGGGGTGGGGAGAGAATGACAAATTCAATTTAAATATGTTAAGCTTGGGGCCGGCCAAGTGGTGGTTAAGTTCACGAGCTCCGCTTTGGCAGCCCAGAGTTTGCGGGTTCAGATCCCGGGCATGGACCTATGCACCGCTTATCAAGCCATGCTGTGGCAGGTGTCCCACATATAAATAGACGGAGATAGCACAGCTCTTAGCTCAGGGCCACTCTTCCTCAAGAAAAAGAGGAGGATTGGCAACAGATGTTAGCTCAGGGCTAATCTTCCTCACCAAAAAATAAAAAAATATGTTAAGCCTTGAGGATTTGTGAAACATCCAAGAGATATCCGGTAGATAGTTGGATATACAAATCTGGAACTCAGAAGAGAGGTCTAGGTTGGAGACATCAACAGAGCTGAGAGTCAACGACAGATCAAGTTAAAGCTGTGAGAGTAGATGAGTTGGCATAGATGCAGGGAACACAAAGTGGGAAGATGGTGCAAGACTGCCTCCCACATGAGGCTATGGACTGGGAGCCATTGGCAGGCAGGGCAGGTGGTCTGTGAGTCTGTGCCCTCCTAATTAAAGCAGGGAGAGTGGGCACTTTGGGAGGGCTATTGAATGATTAGCTGGATGGATGATCTCTCTTCCAACCCACTGAGCCTCTCCCATCCTCCCCTACTCAGGCATGGGTGTGGATTCCCCTCCCTTAGCACTGTGATAGGCAGTGACCATACAAGCAGCCTATGGACAAGGGCACACACTATTTTACTGGAGGAATAGAGTAGATCCTTTTTAAGTGCCCACGCCTTCTTATTTTAGTTTTCCTTAGCTTAAAAATTTTAATCTCAAATTCCCCCAATTTAACCTCAGAAAACCCCAATTTAATTCAGGTCCACAAATATTGCTTTGGGTGAGGGAAGTACTACAAAAACGATTAGGCAGCGTCCTTGCCCTCTGAGTTCCCAATCCAGACTGCATTCGGCAAGACAAGCGCGCTGAGCAGCGAGTTTATCTGAGGGGTGGGGGTACGGGGGACACTGGGCCAGGGAGCTCACCCCGGGAGCTGCCTTATAAACTCCAGGGCAGGGTCTGGGGCGTGCCACCCTCCCTAGCCTTAATGCTGAGATGGCACTCCTAGCCGGCTGACATGAAAGCAGCCTCGTAAAAGGGTCAGCGTCATTAGAGTCATGAACCAGTTGACGCTTGCAGATCCGGAGGGGATGAAAGGCGCGGGGTGAAGACGCCCTGCGTTTCCCTGGCTTGGTTGGGCAGGGCTTCCAGGGGCCGATGAACGCTGGGGAACCGGGCTCAAAGTGTCTCTTCTTGCCTTTCCCAGAAGGAAGCTGTGGACACACTCCAAGGTCGGGAAGGTAGTAGAGGGTGCTCGTTCCCTCCACAGTCCTGGGTCACTGGGTTCCCACCCAGCTCAGGCTTTCCGGAGGGTTACAGGAGACTCTCTAGGATTGGAGGTTGCTATGGCAACGAGGCTCTTGAAATACTGAGGGAAGCCAAAACCTAGAGAGGCTAGACGCTCCTATTCCGACCCAAGGGTACAGTGGCGCCCCCTACGCACAGGAATCGTGCCTGGGTCCCCGCCCCGGGGCGGAGACCACCGTGGACCTCCGGGGGCGGAAGGCCGCTCTGGCCCCAAGTAGAGCCTCTCGCTGGTAGACGGGCTCGAGGGAGCCCCTCTGGGCGCAGCGCCGCCGAGCTGCTCGATGCTCCGACCGGAAGTGCTCTTCACCGCCTGCCTCCCACTCGGCTCTCTGGTCCCGGCGGTAAGATGGCGGCTGCCGCTGGGTGCGATGTGGTAATGGCGGCGACCGAGCCAGAGCTGCTCTACGACGAAGAAGCGAAGAGGTAACCGGGTGACAGGGTAGTGGAAGGGACGAGCTTCTGCTCCGTGGCTCCGGGAAACCCGTCCCTGCCATGATGCAGCCCCTAGCTGTGAAGGCGATGCCCCGCCCTCCGCGTCCCCCCCATTTGAGATCGAGTCCGGATGGACCCCCTGAAGGGGCGCTCTCGGAGGTCGGCCCTCCTTCCCGCTTCCGCCTGGCCGGGGAGCTGAGGCACAGCTGTGTTCTCTAGCAGAGAGGAAGGTCGTCCTGACTGTAAAAGCCAGGTCCCTGAGGAGCTTTCAGAGGTCTGTGGCGGGGTGGGGGAGGCGGCGCGGCGACGATGACGACTGCCTTACATCGCCCCTGACCCCCGCCTTCTCTTGTTAACTTCTGTGCATTGTTGTCTGTCAGCATTTTGCATCACCAAAGCCTGTGCTGTCCTCACCCCCTTTCTTCAGTATTTATACCCCAGCGAGTCCTAGTCTGGGTCCGAGCTGATTGTATGTCTCCATTATTGACCTTGTCCTCCCTCCGCCCCCCGGTTACCCCAGAAGTCGGCGATGATAGAGAAAGAAGGAAGAGTGAGGGGCTTGTTTCGTGTCTACACGTCAAACTCCTTTTCCTCCATCCTCCTTCCTAAGATCTTCGTTCTTCCAGGACTGTTCTTTCTTAAGCAGGAAGGAGGAGGGCAACTGCTTGGGCGCTGTTGGCACTGCTGGGCAGCCGCAGTGGCTCGAGTTTGCCAGTCCGGACTAGCCAGGGGAGCTGCTGAGTGAGTGATTTTCGAGAACGCTCTGGATTCTGGCTACAGCTAAGGCAGGTTGTTGGACGTAGGGTTGGAACACAGTTGTGGGTAGTCATACTTGTCATAATCCTGAAGCAGAATTAACGAAAAGGTTCTGGAAATTTGGAGCCCTTTCTTTATCAACTGCAGATTAGTTGACTACAGTTCCCTCAGTCTCCTTCCCACATATTTCGTATCATTATAGCAAGCCCATTATGGCTTCAGTCTGGGTGATTTGAGGTGGCGATGTAAATTAGTTCATGAGAACTGAAATCAGGATTCTGAGATTTTTTACTGTCCAAGTTAGAAACCTAAGAGGTACTCAGTGAGGCAGAATGAATGGTTATCCAGCTTAAGGGTAGTTACTGCAGCCAGTGTTCCAAGTTCCTGACCTGTTGGGAGCTGAGAGGCTTGACAACATGTAGTAGTAGGTCCCTGGGATGTCAGAGAAGTCAGGATGTCAGAGTCTAGTCTCTCTGTGTTTTTAGTATTGAGTTTTCACATCGTTCCTAGTTCTTTACAGGTATTTAGAATTAAGCATCCTCAGCATCGTTAAGGAACTGCAAAATAAGAAACCAAGAGTTCAACACAGCTTAAATTAATTGTAAGGATCTACTTTGGGAAGAGTTCAGTGGTTCTTTGTGCTATAAATAGAGACTTGGGCTATATGTAATTAAAAAAAAAACTCATCTTAATCATTGTAAATCTCTGATGTAGGACTGTCTCTAATTTGTTTCACTTCAAAGCCTCCTATCTAAAGTAAGTCTTTTTCCTTAAAAAAAAAAAAAAATTACAGCCTTAGAGGGTATTCTATCATAAAACTGTAGTAAATGAGCCTAAAGATAGATTAAAACACATAAAACAGGTGATGTTGTAATGTGAGCACGTTACACAAAAACATATGGTATTTGGTAGCAGTTTAACAAAATAGGAGAGGGCCGGCCCTGTGGCTTAGCGGTTAAGTGCGCGCGCTCCGCTGCTGGCGGCCCGGGCACGCACTGAGGCACCGCTCCTCCGGCTATGCTTGAGGCCGCGTCCCACATACAGCAACTAGAATGGATGTGCAGCTACGACAAACAACTATCTACTGGGGCTTTGGGGGGGAGAAAATAAATAAAATCTTAACAAAATAGGAGAGGATGTTGACTTATGTTTTCTTTTTTGTGAGGAAGATCAGCCCTGAGCTAACATCCATGCTAATCCTCCTCTTTTTGCTGAGGAAGACTGGCCCTGAGCTAACATCTATTGCCAATCTTCCTCTTTTTTTTTCCCCAAAGCCCCAGTAGATAGTTGTATGTCATAGTTGCACATCCTCCTAGTTGCTGTATGTGGGACGTGGCCTCAGCATGGCCGGAGAAGCGGTGCGTGGGTGCGCGCCCGGGGTTCCGAACCCGGGCCGCCAGTAGCGGAGTGGGCGCACTTAACCGCTAAGCCACGGGGCCGACCCTTGACTTATGTTAACTGCCTTATTTCATAGAATTTAAGATGTCATTGTAAAATGCACAATTTTTAATCTACCACTAAGAAAAAATAACTAAATTTAACTGAAAAAATGCTTTCTTACCAAATAGACTTACATGTTATACATATTTATACGGATATCTTTTAGACATAATAAAACAGATGTTTATTATATACCACTTAGGTGTGAGCAAATCAAAAGGAAAATATAGTGAAATAAAAAAAATCAGTTTGACTTTCTGCCATATAAGGCATCCTTAGGAGGGTAAACATTGAGATCCATTACTAAGAAAAAGCTTTGTTTACCTATGGATTTCCAGTGCTGAAAATGGAGTGGGGATTTAGAAGATTTGGAGGAAGGTTGTTTTACATTTTACACATATCCTGGAATCCTCCTGTGTAGGCATAGCAAAGGGCAGGGATAGGAACTCCTTTACAAGTGCCCTTTACTATCTGGCTTGGTTAGTCATTTGACCAAGTTTCTGTCTCTCGTTACAGTCTGATTACCAGTTCATCTGGGGACACGGAAGTTGATGGGTCTCTTGGGTTGTTTTTGTGAAGTCCAGCCTGGAGTCCTTCCTTCCTTGCATCTTGGCTCAAGGACATCCTGCTGCTGCTGCTAAATTTTTACTGTCCCACAGGAGGCAAAATGAGAGAAGCTTGCAAGACCCTGGACCTCGTGGTTGCAGCATTTTAAATAGCTACATGTTTCATTTTCTTAGCTTTAGTGTCTCTAGAGAGAAAAGAAATGGACTTCAATTTTTTTGCCTGTCACTTTGACAAAGTTCTTTTCCCCCCATAGCAGCTGAGAGGTTAAAATAAAAGATATGTTAGTTGGCACTCCAAAATAGATCAGGGGTCTGTATATGAAGATGATTTATTTTTCTTTGCCCACCAGAACGGATAAAGCTACTTGGGAGCCAGAGAGGTAAATTTCAGAAGTAATGAATTTCAGCTAATTTAAGGCCTTAAATTTTCCTGGGAAGTTGCTGATTGCTTTACCTGATATATGAATACTTGTCTTGAGTGAAGGCTCTCTGGTCACATTTCCTGGGCTAGAGAGCAGCTTGGTGTCCATAGGTAGTCTTTGTTATGGTAAAATTGAAGGATTTCAAGTTGTTCATCAATAGAAGAAACACTTCTCTGTCCTAGCATATACTCACTGGCATGACTGGACAGTGAGGCCTGAAAGAACAGGAACCAGGACATCCTTACCTGATTTCTTGAGCTGATAATCTTAACTTGTTTGTATCTGTTTTCCTGATGGACGCAAGCAAGAACAATTATTAGGGCGTTTCTTAGTACCTAGCTGTTATAAACTCTTTGTGGATTTTGCCTTTTATTTCTCTATCCCTATTGTTGGTGGGAAGCACTCAACCCTGAATCCATATCCCAGGGTCTGCTGTAGTTGCTGTGTGTTTCCTGCAGCTTCTTGGAACGTTTTGGAGTTCGTAGCCGTAACTGAAGAGCTTGTGGGGATGCGTGTCCCCTGTCTTATTCCTCACCCTGTTTTAAATTCTTAGGAATTTGTAGCCCTAAACTTGCTCTTAAAGTTCCAGGGCAGGCAACTAGCCATTCAATAAGCCTGCAAGCTGAATGGGTATTTATCTTTGATCTTGAGCCCAAATCAGCGAGAAACACTGCTCTCAGCCTTCATTTTCTTTTTCTTTTTTTTTTTAAATTAATTTTTTTTATTGCGGTAACATTGGTTTGTAACATTGTATAAATTTCAGGCTTACATCATTATACTTTTATTTCTGCATTGATTACATCATGTTCACCACCCAAATACTAATTACAATCCATCACCACACACATGTGCCTAATCATCCCTTTCGTCCTCCCTCCTCTCCTCTCCCCTCTGGTAACCACCAATCCAATCTCTTGTCTCTATGTGTTTGTTTGTTGTTTTTATTTTCTACTTACAAGTGAGATCATACAGTATTTGACTTTCTCCCTGACTTACTTTGCTTAGCATAATACCCTCGATGTCCATCCATGTTGTCACAAATGGCTGGATTTCATCGTTTCTTATGGCTGAGTAGTATTCCATCGTGTATATATACTGCATCTTGCTCATCCATTCGTCCCTTGATAGGCATTTAGGTTGCTTCCAAGTCTTAGCTATTGTGAATAGTGCTGCAATGAACACAGGGGTGCATGTGTCTTTACGCATTGGTGTTTTCATGTCCTTTGGATAAATACCCAGCAGTGGAATAGCTGGATCGTATGGTAGTTCTAGCCTTAATTTTTTGAGGAATCTCCATACTGTTTTCCATAGTTCAGCATTCATTTTCATTTTGGTACACTGTAAGTATGGAGTCAGAGATGAAGAAATAGGAAATGAGTCAAATAAATCATGGATAAGGAAGAGATAAACCTAGGAATAGAGAATCCTGAGTACCAGCAAATTAATTGAATCCTGATATTAACAAGTGGCAAAATTGTTAAGTAATCATTACTGGAGCAAAGGTAGAGTACAGAGGAAGGGTCTCTCTGTTCCTTGCTGCTTTAATTCAGATCCATATGTTATCCAGAGCCAGGTAAATTGAGCAGTTTTAGTGGTGGGCCCAGTGAGTGGCAGTTGCTCTAGTGTCTAGTCCATTCCCAACGACCGGAGCTCTGATTGGCCTAAAACCCAGCCTTATTGTACATTCCAGCCAATCAGGGAATAGTTTGGTCATGAAGCCAGTGTTGTAAAAGTTTTTAAAAGTTGAGTACTGGGCATTTGCCTTTGCTTTCTTTCTCTAGGACTTTAGAAGATTGGAGAACAATGG